ATCTCTGTTTTCTCTTCTTTTTTTTTTTTCCTCTTTGTCTTTTTTCGTGTCCGGCAATGGATCACAACCCTCAGTGTCGCGCCCGTACTGGACTGGGACCGGCAACGGGATCGCAACCCTCGGTGTTGCGCCCGCACCTCGCTCAGCCAGTGAGCAGGAACCAGTCTGTATGTTGGATCCGAACCCTCGGTGGGAGGGCCGCCGCACTCCCAAGCGGCGCACTGTAGCAGTGCGCCACCGGGCCGGCCCTCTGTTTTCTTTTCTAAAAGCTGCCATTATAGACACTAGGACACTCCTAAAATGCTGTTAATCTGCAGTGGTTTCATGTATGAGTAAATTGTTTCTTTAATGAGATTATAAAATATCTGAAGGTAAGAATCAAGCATCTCTTGTAGGGTAAACCACACAGGGCTAATCGAATCCACAGCTGTGTTTCTTGTAGCGCTATGAACACAGAAGTATCTCAGTTACTATCTCTGTAATTGTCTATGGGCAATGAAGGTTTCTAATGGCCTGTTGGGGCTAGTTTGATGGAATAACAGAATAGAGTGTATGGGCTGTAGTGGATTGAATAAAGTCCCCCCAAAACTCATTGAAGCTTGAATTATGTCCCCTAAGTTTTATGTATTAGAAACTTGGCCCCCACTATGACTGTTAAGAGGGTGGAAAATCTTGGGCCGGCCCGTGGCTCACTCGGTAGAGTGCGGTGCTGATAACACCAAGGCCCCGGGTTCGGATCCCACATAGGGATGGCCGGTTCGCTCACTGGCTGAGCATGGTGCTGACAACACCAAGTCAAGGGTTAAGATCCCCTTACCGGTCATCTTTCTTTAAAAAAAAAAAAAAAAAAGAGGGTGGAAAATCTTATTATGGTAATTGAAAGGTGGAGGCTTGAAGAAGTGATTGGATTGTAGGACCATGCAGTAGTGAATGGATTAAAAATGGTGGTCAGGGGTATGGTTCTGAGGACTTTAAAAGAAGAGGAGTCTCTGCTCTCTGCTCTGATCTCACTGATTCCACCATCTTGCAGTGTGAGACCCCTGGGTCACTGTCACCACCACCAGATGGACTTTGGACTTCCCAGCCTCAGAAACTGTAAGCAATAAATTTCGTTTTCTTTCTAAATTACCGAGTTCCACATGTTTTGTTACAAGCAACATAAACAGACTAATACATCGGCCAAGAGTATATGTTGCCTTTATCTGGAGTACCATGGAAGGCCCATCAGTATTCTGCAGCATACAACATTTCCTGGTCCTCCTTCACCATTTCAGTCCTTAGAGGTATCCATCCTTCCCATTTGCTGGCCCGTGCAGAGGACAAGCTCTACACAGCAGCATCCACAATTCAGTTACAGTCAAATCAAGCAGACTCAGGAAAGTCTCAAGAAGCAGTTAGAGCTGCAGGAACCCAAGATAATATGCTTGTCAATCACCTGTTCAGGCTCTAGATCTGCTGCCTGCCCAGCCCCCTTTCCCATGTCACACACTACACATAGCAAGGGGAAAGCTATCCTGTGAGTGTCTGGGAGAAGAAGACTTCAAGATCCCAATGATAATTCTCCAATCCAGGTATAGAATGTATATATTTTAAGTTTGGCCTGTGGGAGATGTGGGATGGTAGAGTTAGCTTTCCTCATCTTTCAAATCTTATCACACCTCTTTCCTTTTTTCGGGGGGGGGGGGGGGGGGGGGGGGGGGGGCC